AGGTTGAACATTTTTTCAGAAGCTTAAGGGCCATGTTTATATCTTTAATTTTTGTGGATTGTTTGTTCAGATCTTCTGCCCATTTTTCTAGTGGGTGTTTGGTCTTTTTCCCTTCAGTTTTCTGTGGGGTTTTTTTGGCTGGCCAGTATGGGGATCAGAACGCTTGACCTTGGTGTTGTAACACCAGCTCTAACCAAGTGAGCTAACCGGCCAGCCCTTTCCCTTCAATTTTTAAGAGCTCCTTATATATTAAGAATATGAGCTCTTTATCTGTGATATTATGTTGCATATATTTTCTCCCAATGTTTTCCATTGGTTTTCTGTTGGTTTGTTTGGTGGCTGGCCAGTACGGGGATCCTGAACCGTGGACTTTGGTGTCTTAACACCATGCTTTAATCAACTGAGCTAACTGGCCAGCTTATATTGGTTTTGACAACACCCTGTTTTGATATGATTTTCTCTAATGGTGGAGCTCCAATACTCTCCATTAATTGTAATAACTGAGACCAGAATACATACATGTACCTATCAGAATATATCATATCTCGGCCGGCCCGGTGGCGCACTGGATAGTGCGCCGCTTGGGAAGCGCGGCGGCGCTCCCGTCCGAGGGTTCGGATCCCACATACAGACCGGCTCCCGCTCACTGGCTGAGCGAGGCGCGGGAGCAACACCGAGGCTTGCAGTCCCGTTGCCGGTCCCCGGTCCGGTACGGGGGCAACACTGAGGGTTGCGATCCGTTGCCGGACACGGAAAAAAAGACAAAAAAAAAAAAAAAAAAAAAAAAAAAAAAAAAAGAATATATCATATCTCTTGATTTATGATGGCACAAACATACACTTCAAAGCTAGATATGCTTGATAAATATCAAGTGCTCTGCCCCCACAATGCAAACAATTCTTGCCAATCTCTTTTAAGACGAGGCTTGTGAGAATCTGATGTGAGGTATGGATGCTCCCCAGAAAGCAGCACAGATGCACAACACGGCCTGGCTGTGGCATCTGCTTCAACAGAACGATTAGCTGAGCTCCAGTTTCTTTGACTTAATCATTCTTCATACTCCACCCACTTCCAGAAAGATGTGAGGCGTCTCTCTGATGCTTAGCACAAGCTGTGTTCCTTTCACATCAGTGCACCTCCTTGCCATTTTGCATGTGGTGCTGTGTTGTGTCTGATTTTCCTAGTTGTGGTGGTGGTTTTCTGTTTCCTTGCCACAGATCTGGACAGTCCATTACCATGGTTGGGGGAGCAGGATTCTCTGGGGTGGTCTTTAGGGTGAGGTAGTTGAATTCTGAGCAGAAATGTTGCTCTTTGACTGTGTGAGGCAGAAGCTGCCCACTAAGGAGATCCTTTCTCTGCTGGCGTCTGTGAGCAGGGAGTGGACAGTACAGACAACTCACGGCTTTATGCTTCCTCCAGCACATTCCTTGACCTCTCTGAGCTTCCATTTAGTGGCTTATTAGAAGCAGCACAGCAGAGTGATCCAGAGAACCGCCTCCAGAGCCATACCATTTGGATTCAAGTTCTGATGGCAGCATGTCTTAGCCATGTAACACCTGGTACCTTTCATGCCTCATTTCCTCAAAACTCGTAAGTGACTTAATATGTGAGAAATTTTTGCATAGTGCCTGGCACATACTGCGTGCTCAGGAATTGTTAGCTTTTATCACCATCAACCACGTAATAAGGATTTATGGGATATTGTGAGGTTTAACTAAAATAATGCAAAGTGCTAATCATGTGTTCCATAAACTTTAATTTATTAAGTTTAGAAATACAACAGTTTGTTAAAAAATCCTTTACAAGAAGAAAGTTTGTATTTCCATGTGGCTTTGTGTTGAGAAATCAGTATTAATCTTGCTACAGGAGATTGTATCACTATCAGTTATTTCTGTCTAGGAAAAGGAGTATCATTCTGTTCTGAGCTCAGCATATCCCAGGCTGCCCAAATCTGCCACACTTATTCTTTGAGCCAAGTTGATGGGAATCTTGGCTTCTTTCAGAGTTTCTAAATTGTCCCCCATGTGGTCTCACAGACCTATTAGTTGAAAAGAGGAGCCCCTCCCTACAGCGCATGGGTGGTAAGGTTACTGCTGTTGAAAGCAGTTATGAGCTTATTATTCACTCAAGTAAGTGGCCACCTGACTTTTTACATGTGTGCAGTTGGAACTTGCACTTATGGTCAAGCATTATAGTCACAGACTTCATTAAATCGTCAAAAACATCCTCAGGGCTGAGGAAGTTATGTGATTTGGCTTTAATTAGCAGAGGCTCATGGACACTGCCAGGCACCAGTTTGTAGATCCAATGGATGAGGAAGAGGAAGATTATTACTAATAATAGCAAACATATATTGAGTTCTAACCAGATGCCAGACTCTATACTGAGGGTTTAGATGTAGCATCACGTTTTGTTTCTCATAGCAACCCTATGAGGTAGTGCTTTTGATTGCTACATTTTACAAATGAGGAAACGGAAGCACATAAGGATTCAGAAACATGCCAAGGTCACGTGGCAATTGTAAGGGGCATAAATGCAACACTGGCAGGCTAACTGCAGAGCCTGCATCACTGTCCCAGACTGATGTCCAAGCACAGCACGATCCCTGACCATAGAACCACGGAGGTAGGGACTGAAGGTCGGGGCCAGGGTACTTTACCATCAGTGATCCATTACAGAAAGGAGACTGTGAAGAGCTCCATCTGGTTTTCTCATCGACAGTCAACATAGACATTTCCTCCCCAGTAGAGCTGAATGGCTCCCCCCCGCCCCACCCCGCTGCTGCTTTTGGTTTTACCCAGTCTTTGTTTTCTGAAAATGAGGCTGAGCCTGCTTAGCATGCTTAGCAGTGGGAAATGCACTCAAGTGGCTGGTGCCAGCTAGATTTTTTGAGTTTTAAAAAAGACTTCTAGAAGTTCTATTTCTTCCCCACTGAAAAGGAAAAAAAAAAGTTTTTAAGCAGTTACGTAACTTCTTGAGAGAGAAATATGGAAACATAAGGACCAATGAAGATCCTTCTGTATCAGAAAGAACACATTCCCTGTGTCAGAAACATGAGGCTTGAGGCTGTTACAGACATATCAAGAACTGCATTCAGAAATAAGTGAAATCACCAAAAATCATTAAAAGAAAGAACTGCATCTACAGAAATATATGGCAATATCATGTGTATGATTAGATTAGATATCTAGCCCTAAAATGGGATAAATCAATAGAAGTTATTAAAACCAACAACAAGACTAACCAGTTAGGTCACTCAGCACGGTGCCAATAACACCGAGGTTCAAGGGTTTGGATGCCCAGACTGGCCAGCCACTAAAAACAAAACAAAAAATAAAACCAGCAACAATTGCCAGTTTGCCAAGTGCTGGAAACCAGTATTTCACATATTAGGGCCTGTTTTCTTTGCATGTCAGAAAGGCATACCTGATGTATTACCAGCAGAACTAGTCTAGAAGGAAGGAAGGAAAGGAAAAGGACTCAAGTTTACAGATGTAAAGAACTTACCAAGTGCCCAGGACAGTGGGTGAGATACCATGAAATTTTAGAACATTGATTAATTACAGTATTCTAAAAAAAAAATCATTATTTTTACAGTTTAAAAATTTTTAATGTTCTACAAATAAAAAAAAAATCCTACAAGCTTACAAACATCAGAAAGGATTTGGACTTTATTTAATAGCACTGCTGGAAGGATGTGTGCCCCCAGAGCCAGGAGATAATCCAATAATAAGGAAGGCATGGGAAGCAGGAGATCCAACATGGAAGAGATTTGCTGATGAAGGAAGGGCCCACACACAGGTGTGCACTGGCCATGGAGGCTTCCAGTCAACACTGGAGCACATCAGAAATCTCCAGGAGAGGGGCCGGCCCGGTGGCGCACTGCTATAGTGCGCCGCTTGGGAAGCACGGCGGCGCTCCCGCCGAGGGTTCGGATCCCACATACAGACCGGTTCCCGCTCACTGGCTGAGCGAGGCGAGGGTGCGGCACCGAGGGTTGCGATCCCGTTGCCGGTCCCAGTCCGGTGCAGGGGCGACACTGAGGGTTGCGACCCGTTGCCGGACACAGAAAAAGACAAAAAAAAGAAATCTCCAGGAGAGATTTCTCACAAGATGAGTGATACCTTATGATTGTGAAGGGAAGAATGAGAAAATTGGTGAAGGCTTTGGGATTGAATTAGATATGTGTAAACAGAAATCCAAGCAAACAAAAACATAAGATAATTATCTCCTGAAGATACAAAAACTTGAGTGGAAAAGAAAAGTTATCATGGTTCACTACATGGTTTGGCTGTAAACAGGGCTTTTACATAGTCATGTTAATACTAAACCCAAATATTGATCTAACCAAAATTATGACACAGCCAGATTGGGAGGATGGGGGTAGGAAAGGGTGCATATGGGAGAAAGGGGCAGAGAAATCCTCAGTAGACTAATGTTTAAAACTTAATGAGTAAAATTGAGAAATCAAGAGGTAGCAATGCAAATTTAGGCATATTATTCAGAGAGAGAGAAATAAATACCAAAACAGAGTTGAAAATGGTTGCCCCTGGGAAGGTAGAGGTGGAGGGGAAGGGACAGGACTGCTATTTTCCATAACAAAGCTTGTAAAATGACCTGACTCTAAACTATGCACATGTATAACTTTGATTAAAATATAAACTTCTAACGTAAAATTGAAAAATAATTTAGTGGCAATAAAAAAAATCGAGTTGTAGCTCAGTGTTTCTCCTGGTAACTGGGAAAGACTGCTTATCCTTTCTGAATGGGGTGGGGAGTTTTCTTAGAATAAAAGAAAATAATCTGAAACTGGAGTTCTCTCATTGAAAACACTGTTTTGTACATGTTTGGTCTCCTGGTATCAGTATCTCCTGATTATGCATAATCTAGCCTCACTACCTCCTTTATTTAAGGGAATAGATGTATAAATCCTTCCTCCTGGCGTTGGCTGCTGCGTTTCTGCCTGCCAGCAGCTTATCTCAGGATTCTCTTTGTTTCAGGTCTCTGTCCTAGGATGCCCTGACCCAGTGGTGCATGAAATTGCCTATCAATATGGAAAAAATGTGGGAATAGCTTTTCAGGTTGGTGTGCTCCTTATTTATAAGAATGGTCATATATTGGTACAGCCAACATTCTCTCCATGTAAAATCCTCAAAATGGAACGGGTGCAGTGAGGTTGGCATGGTGGTGGGGTTTTTTTGGGGGGGTTTTTTGGTTTTTTAAAGATGACCGGTAAGGGGATCTTAACCCTTGACTTGGTGTTGTCAGCACCACGCTCAGCCAGTGAGCTAACCGGCCATCCCTATATGGGATCCAAACCCGGGGCCTTGGTGTTATCAGCACCGCACTCTCCCGAGTGAGCCACGGGCCGGCCCCATGGTGGTGGTTTTTATATTCCTTTTTACCTTTTTCTAGCTAATAGATGATGTATTGGACTTCACTTCATGTTCTGACCAGATGGGCAAACCAACAGCAACTGACCTGAAGCTCGGTTTAGCCACTGGCCCTGTCTTATTTGCTTGTCAGCAGGTAGGTTTTACAAACTCCCTTTGACACCCCTGGGTAGCCCTATAGAATGTCTCCAGGCATAGCTGATGGCAAGGCATTTAGATAAGAGATCACAGATCTAGATTTGATCCTGGCTCTATTACTGAGGTGAGGGAGCCAGTCATTTCACCTCTTTAAGCCTGTTTCCTTATCTGTAAAACAGAAGATTACAACCTTCCTCCCAGGGTTGTTGTGAGGATTAAGTGAGATAATATTAATTATCTTTGTAAACTGTGAAGTTCTGTATGCATTTGGGGTAGTCGTATGATTAATTCCACATAGTTTAGGCACTGGCAACGTGAATGATTTCCACACCTCGATTATACAACTAGACACTGGGTGTGCCTCAAAGCCCCTTAAAAAGGCACAGGAAGCATCAAGGGCCTCCAAGCATAAGAAATTCTGAGAAATTTCCCAGTTCTATAAGTTTAACAGGACTGTTTGCTGCTCTGACAGAGGCCTTAGAGCCTCAGCCTTTACCTCAAAATGTCAAGTCAGTGGAATGTACTAGAACTACACACTTCCCTCTTTATACAGATTGGGGACTGTCAAGTATGGAAATAAGTAAAACTGCCTTCATATTTTCCCTAAAATGGATGAAAGGGTTAAGGAAGCTTCAAAGATGCTGCAGTGACTTACAAAGCAGATACTTTCACAGCCTGTTCTGGACCCTGGCCACATTATTTTGGGCTGTGCCAAATGTTATTTGAAATAAGTGAGGCATTAGCCGGTGCTTGGACATCTTTTTATTAGATTTTCATCTTAGGAGTATTTAATTTTTTAGAAAAGTCATTTTTACTCTTTCAGAGATTTTGCCTCTATTCCTTCTTAAAATTTACAAAGATAAATCATGTCTTCCATAGAACTCAGTGATTCCATTTTGATATTTCCATATTTCCATATCAGTGACCTTGCTTTTGATCAGTTTCTGATCAAGAAAGGAAAGATCATCTTTCATCCACTATATGACAGAGCCACTGTGAGGCTGGCTTCCCAGGGCAGGCTGATGTCTTAGGTGGCCACCAGATCGCCTTGGGCAACATGCTAGCGACAGCAGTCAGTTGAAGAATAAGGGCTGTGAAGAAGAGATCAAGGCACTCTGTAGAAACATCTGTCCTCATTATTAGCAGGCTCCATTCTCTTGAGGATGAGGCCTGGTAATCATAAAAATTTTGAGGCCAACGTGAGAAGTGAAAGGTGTGCCCTTAATGTGTATTAAGGCATGAGTGAAGAACATTTTGTTTTATCATAAACCCACACACAAAAAATGGTATTCATTAGTCAAGTAAATGTAAAGGTATGCCTAAGAGTAGAAAAATTAGTCACTGGCTACCACCCGTACAACCACAGACATTAATCTACTCCTCAGACACTGGTTAGTAAACGTGAGTAACGAACAGTGAGATGGACCTGCTAGCCTGATAAAGATTCACTTAGCTAGGCCCTGAGATTATCAAGATAACTAAGGACCAAGCCTTTTCCTGAAGAAGTTTACAGTCTACTAAAAAGTTTCAGTTGCTGTGCTTTTAGAAATCTTAGCAATTATAAATACTTGTCATGAGCCTCACAATACTAAGTTAACAGTTGAGTCCAATTTAAACTTTAACATAACTGGTTGAGAATGCAATGGTCTCTTTTGTGTTTCACTGTGAACATATTTCAAAAGGAAACTAATTTGCTTTCCTCTACACAAAGGAGTAATGGCTAATTCTGCCTTCACATATAATGTGGCAAAGCTGTGGGTGAGGGAGGGGTAGGGAACGGACTCCTCCTAGATCTGTTAATCATCTACAAGAAATTTTAAAATGCTGTTTTTTTTAAAAAGGCAAGGAAAAGGAACCAAAAAAAGGTTACAATGTCCCCAAATTATGGTGTATGTGCACTTCACTGGGAAATCCCAGTCACAAGGCACCCACTCATGCTCATCAGACAGCACTTTTCTCATCTGCCCATAAGGCAGTGGGGAAATGAGTTAAAAAGGCACATTGCAGCCTCAGAAAAGGGAACACAGGATGAGGCCAAGCAGGAAGTGGTTCTGGACAGGAATTATCTTACAAGTAGGCTAGTTTTTCTGCCTTGTGGCGCCTGGGCCAGAAGTTAGTCAAATATGTGTTTATAAGTTGTTTTTAAGTAAAACAGCAAGTTTAGGCTCTCCTACGGATTACACTGTCAAAATTGGGATTTTTAGCAAGAAATTTGTTAAAAGATTTATGGGACTAAAATTAACTTTGGGTAAAACAAGTTACAAAAGTAAGACAGGAATGTGCAGTATCTTCATTGAATGAAAAATGCATTTTTAGTTTACAAAGGATTTTTTCATACATTATCTCTAATCTCACGACTCCTCTTTATGGTAGATATAGTGATGTCTATTCTCCAAATAAGGAGCTGATGCTGAAATCTGGCCAAAATTAAACATCTGGTAAATGGCACAGCAGTATTCATTTTACTTCACTATGTATTATTTTTGCCACTGGTAATATTGGTAAAAGTTAGTACCTGATAAGCTTGTAAGATACAAAGTAGGTCTTCCCACAGCACAGATAACCAAGCGATACCCTGGCACTGAAAGTATGCTGATGACACTCAAATAAGAGTCTCTGTGTCTGCTCTTCATTGTTTGTGACTAACATACCTATTTAGTGGAGTAGTTCTAACATGTTTGTAATCCTTTCCCATAGATAGGAGAGTTTTGTTTGCAAATTAGATAGTCTATGAACTTTTCCATTTGTGAGCATTGACAAACAATGGGAAACTGCCTTTTTCTTTTTAACCTGGCGTGGTGGATTGTGTTGAAACTGGAATTTGCTGGACTCAGCACTTGATAGAAACTCCCTCTTTGGAATTCTACTATTTTTAACATCTCTCTGAAGGGGTTCCTGATAACAATGGGTAAAGCTGAAACTTTTTAAGAAAAGTTTCGTTTCTGGAGAGGTCCCAGTGATGACAGCATCCTTCCATGTATATGTGTATATACATTTTCTTTAAGAACAAAAACTTCAATGTTAAATCTTTAAAATATTGATTCTGAAGTCTTCAGAAACAAAAAAGAAGTGTTTTCCTTTCTTTTGTGAGCCTACATTCGTTTTCAAGTATCTTTTTAAAAAATCTTTCCTTCTGCTTCTTTTCCATATTTGATAAGTCACTAGACCTAAATGTCAGCCTGTAGCCATATTTCCAATTGCCATCATCAGCCCCTTCACCAGCCACACAGGCTTTTGCTACTGTGGTGACTAGTTGGTACCTTGGAATTACCCAAGTTTTGTTTGGGTAAACTGACTCTAATTTACTGATCACCTTTGTAGTTTAATTTATGGACAGATTTCACAGAGTTAGAATCTGATTCATCCACAGGTGGTTTTCCTATTCTTAAAAACAGCCTGAGCAAAAATTTTATTTCTCACTAAATTTGCAGACCGGCAACTGTTCTTCCTGTTAAGTTTCTCATTTCTTTTCCACATACACGTTAAGGGGATGGGAGAGTGCCAAAGGGAGAAGTTTGATATTTGCATATTAAAACTGCATGTTTCAAAAGAAGGATGTAGTCACACTCGATGTAAACATTTTTTTCAAATAACTGCTTTCTCAAGGCTTTTTATATTAAAAACCATTAGAAAAACCACCCAATCAGCACATTTTACTACACTTGATGGTACTGCAGAAGAAGCTTATTCACTATAAACAAGGTAATTTTACCAGACAACCAGGACAGGATCCATCAACTTTAAGGATATAGCCTTCTAGATATCCAATTTTGGAATGTGGTATTAAAAAACTAAAGCAAATGCTTACTTGACTTGGCTTTTTACCACTAAAATTGATTGATCTGTGCTTTCCTGATTTGTTTCCTGTAAAGCTTAAATTATTTTGTTCTTAATAGACCAGTAACTAGAGTAAATTACTGATTTTCATTTAAGAACTAACCAGTTGCTGGCTCTTTAAATTCTTTACACGTTAGCAGCCTTACTTAAGACTTTGTTCTGACATATACTTTGCTGTGAAAGGAATATTCTTACTTCCTCATCTGCCTTCATTTGGTTGGGGTTTTTCTGTGTGCCCTATTTTTTCTTCTAGGATTACTAATACCATGATGATGGTTACAGGACAAAATAACTTATTTCATCCTTTGGGCTCACTGCCAGGGAAAAACTGGCAACTGCTGTAAGCACTGATGTGTCCAAGACCAAACACATTTTCCCTCTTATTCTATGGAACCACAGACTGTTAGAACTTAAGGATTTCAGATCATGGGACAGATGAGGAGGCCAAGACCCAAGAGATTAAGGAACTCACTCAGTTGTGGCAACTGGTGGCAGAACTAGGACTAGAGCTCGGGTCTAGAAGTGAAGTGATTTGGTGTCCTGGCTCCCTTATTTTGTTAATGGTGGCAATTCTCCTAAATAGTTTCTAAGTATTGTAGAATAAGATTTTATTTTCAATGCCTTTTGTACCTGTTTTCTTTTTTCCTTTTATTGCCATCAGCTTAATTCAGGTATTTTTTGTAACTTTCTACAGTAACCCGATTGGTATCTCTCTCCCTATTTCCTCTAATTAAATGGTTCTCAGCCTTGTCTGCACATTAAAAATACCAGGGGAGTTTTGAAAATCCTGGTGCCCAGGCTAAACCTCAAGCCAATGTAATCAAAATCTTTGGGAGCAGGATCCAGGTAACTGTACTTAAATGTCCCCAGATGATTTCAGTATGCAGTCAGTGTCAAGCACCGCTGCTCAGATCCACTTTATGCACCTCTTCAGGCAAAACTCTGCTCCTAATACCCTCTGCTCAGAAACTGCACAGCTTTCAAATGCCACTCAATTTCGTAAAGTAGAATGCCTAATTTCCACTCGCATCCTAGCCCATTGGCTCTCAAAATGTTGGCAGAGACCAGCAGTATCAGCATCACCTGGGAATGTTAGAAATAGAGTACCCAATCCCTACTGAATTAGAAACTGAGGGAGAGGCCCAACAGGCAGTACAGTAAATATTTTCAGATTTTCTGATGTAATCTAAAATTTATGAGCCATAAGAGAAGCCAATGTGGAGATTTTAGAGATGTACTTTGTTCCTCCTGCCTCTCTAACTCAATATTGGACTAAGGATAGAACAGAACATCAGAATCAACAAGGACCAATGGCTGCTTTTTCTGTGTACCACTGAAATCCTTGGGCATAGACAACAATGTCTCCCAACTCAGCTTTTTTAATTGCTGCAGTTTACTGCTTCCCCCACGTCATCTAGACATCTACTCACCTTTTTGTTTTTTCTTATTGTTATTTCCTATTATTACAAAGTAGTTTGAGAACACTTGATTCTTCCTAGAGCAATAAACAGATGTTCTTTCTTTATGGTTAGTTCCCAGAAATGAATGCTATGATAATGAGACGGTTCAGTTTGCCAGGAGATGTGGACAGAGCTCGACAGTATGTACTACAGGTAAGATTATTTTTTTTTATTTTTTATTTTTTTTGTCTTTTTCCGTGTCCGGCAACAGATCGCAACCCTCAGTGTTGCCCCCGTACCAGACCGGGACCGGCAACGGGATCGCAACCCTCGGTGCTGCGCCCGCTCCTCGCTCAGCCAGTGAGCGGGAACCAGTCTGCATGTGGGATCCGAACCCTCGGCAGGAGCGCCACCGCGCTTCCCAAGCGGCGCACTGCAGCAGTGCGCCACCGGGCCGGCCCAGGTAAGATTATTTTTAAAAGAAAAACGGCAGCAGCAGGTACAATGTGGCAACGTCCTCTAACCAAACAAATAATATAACTAAAAGTTAGTTAGGTTTAGATATAAGACTAAGTTTGACCAACTCTTGATTTGACAAAAGCTGAGAAGGAAAAACTCATTTTTCTTATTTTTAATTAATTTCATTTTTCATCTACAATACTCCCCAAAGATTTTAGCTTAATTGGTCTTGGGTAAGACTTGGACATTAAAGTTTGTTAAAGGTTACCCATGTGATTCTAATATGCAGTCAGGGTTGAGACTCGTTGTTTGAACAGTCCTCCCTGTGTCCATCACTAGCATAACTGTACTCCTAATCACCCAGGCTTGCCTCCAACCTAGTCCAAGACCTCACCCTTGCTACAGCCAATTACAATAGTCTACTCATAATTGGTCTTTCTTAGCCCATCCTATGCAACTATTATAAAGGTGTGACTAAATAATTGGTCAAAAAACATTTAAACCAGGATAGGCAAAGTGTACATTTATATGAATGTTTTTCTATTAAAGAGAGAACTGTTTAACCCTGTCCTGTTCAGGAGCTAGAGACTTATTTCAAATATTGCCACATATCTTGAGAACTTTTCATAGAAGCCAGACCTTTTTCAGTTTGGTGATTATCTTTTGAGAATGAGCTATTTCCAAATTCAAAGTCGTTTGGAGCCAAAAATCTAGTGAATGAGATGGAGTGAGCAAACAATTGTTAGTAAGCAAATGTGGTCTGAGATCTATACTTATTGCAATACTTGAAAAAACTCCAAATAATTACCTTTCAGATTTTTAGAATTTCCAAAGAGCAAAACCCCTCCGAAGGATGTATTTCTCTTTTAACTGACCATACCGTTAAGCATCATAATTTGCTGTGGGTTACCACCTTTTTGGTGGGTGATTTGGCAATTCTATAAAAACTCAACATAATAGGTGGCTGTAGCTGATGAAGAAGTCAATATCCCTGGGAGAGGTTCCGGCTTCAGAAATAATAGTATTATTTAAGGCTGGAGTGAGAAGTGGGACTGAAAAGAGGGAAATTAATTGTAACTCTTTTGTAAAATAGTGAGGTTCCAGCAAGCATAGCCAGAAATACACTTAGAAAAAAAAATTAGAGGAATGTTGTCTAAACATTCTCTAAAGGACTCTGAATTTTAGCTCCCTGTTGACCCTCAGAGCTTCTAGACCCTATTCCCTCATTAAATATGAATGGACAACTCAGGATTACTGAACAGTTGATTAAACTTTCTGAACAAAAGAGTGACACCAAGATAAACAGAAATAAAGATTCAGGAAAAATATAAATAGGAGGATCAAAAAAAAATACTGCACTTACAAAACAAGAACAGAAAAATATTTTAAAAATCAGTAAGAGTAAGCTCTAAGAAATTTTAAATGATTGTGAAAAGCTAACTCCAAAGAAAGGCTGCAGTGTACAATTGAGAAAATCTTCCAAAATAAACAGAAAGGGACGAAAATGAAAAATGAGAAAGCTAAGAGGATCAGTACAATCATGTAACACATATTTCAGGAAGAGAATCAAAAAACAAAGAAAGTGGTCACCTAAAAATAGAAAAGGTATCACAACTGGCACGTTGTATAAGCAAAAACACTGGATGCTGGAAAGCAGTGGAAGGAACAAATGCCTTCCAAATGATGAGGAAATACTTTTAAACCTAGAGTTCTATACTCAAACCAACCATTAAATCTGAAGGCAAAAAAAAGTCATCACACATAAGGACTAAAAAGCTGACTTCCCATATCACTTTCTGGGGAGGTTATTCGCTGATGTACTTCAGCAAAATGTGTGCAAACACCAAGAAAGAGAGGGCAGGCTTCTGTACAGAAAGGCACAGCAAACTAAACTGTCATGTTTTGTGGGCAACTGTTAGAGTACAGAAAATCAGAGAGGGGCCTTTCAACCATGAAGTTAGGAATATTCTACTCCAAATGATAGAGGGATCATGAACCATAGAGAAGCAAACAAATATGACTTGATTCCACAGTAAACATTTTTACATCATAGAAGTAATGAATACTTTATTAATGTTCAGCTTTAGAAAAAAACATTAAAAACATGGTTACAGAATAGAATATAAATATCTATAATGTAACAGTATAGTTAGAGGCAAGGACAGGAGCACTGGTATCCTTATCTTAAACAAGATAAAATCAGAAGTTGATGCTACATGATCAACAGAAGAACTAAAGACAGCAATATATAATGTTCAAATTAGGAGGCACAGTATGGGTGGGCTAAATCCTCATCTTGCTGCCTTTGGGAGAAAGAAACTTCATTTTCATCATAAGCCCTTCTGTACTTTCATTTTATTATATGTATATGTTCTTTTTTATTTTTTCATTTCTACTTTAGGATTTTTTATTTAGAAATTTGTATATACATACTTTATATATGTGGAATTTTTTAAAAACTCTAATACTTAAGTAAAAAAATAGGGGGATATAGGTGGATACTTGATATTTAAAGAGTTAGTTGCTAATAGAATAAAAATTTGCTTTGATCTGAGAAAAGAGCCTAAAAGAAGTAGGGAAAGGAAGCTAGAATTATGAGATGGAAAGAGAACATTAGAATTGTAGTGTGGCTGTTAACTGTGCAACTCACCCTCACCTCATCTGATCTCAAAAATATGTTTTAATCCATAATAGCAGGAATTCAAGAACTGATCCAGTCAGTGACAATCTGTTCTGTTTTGTTCTATATCCCATAGAGCGACGGTGTGCAACAGACAACCTACCTCGCCCAGCAGTACTGCCATGAAGCAGTAAGAGAGATCAGTAAACTTCGACCATCACCAGAAAGAGATGCCCTCATTCAGCTTTCTGAAATTGTACTCACAAGAGATAAATGACGACTCTTTCTGTTCTTTCTGGCAGCTATTTTACCAGACTGTGCCTACAGAATTTTGTGGAATACACTTGGTTTGCTTCATGTGCGGATAACCAAAAATCATTTTAAAAAAGAATTTCAATCTTATTGATGGGCAGTTTTTTTTATTGGCAAAGTTTTTCAGAAAACTTTTAAAATGTAATTAAATCATCTGAATCTGTCATTCTGGTCCTATAAATTCTAATCAAGGTATCTTGATGGTTATATGTGGTATTGTTTACACTGTTAATATATCCACATGTAAAGCCATTACACAAATAAATAATCAATGTTAAAATTCAAATGGTTTGTCTTGTTTCACAAAAGTAAAGGTCAGAAAATTATTAAGTCTGCATTTAAGACTACATTAGTTATATGTTAACAGTATTCAAAATTTCAGATAGGAGAATGGTTTATTATAAAAGACTGTACATAAAATTTAGACAACAGGTTATATACAAATTAAGAGAACATTCCACTTGAAAAATGAAAAGTAGAAGGTAGCTAGCTGATCACTAATGATACTTCGTTTAAAATTAACAAAGGCAAAATGCATATGAAACAGTCACATTGATTTGGTAGCAATAATGGTCTTTAATTTTCAGAAATAAATGTTTTGCACTAGTCTTACCATTCACTATGCTGTTATGTCTGTAACGCCCAGTACATAACTGTAATTTGAAATCCAAACAAATCCTCAATACACAGAAACTCACACTTGAGTGCTCTATTTTAACATCCTAAGCAATATAGAATTTACACAAGAAGAGAAAACATCCCTCTAACCCTCCCTTAAATTAAGAGGAGACACACAAAGTGCATGTATTGCATTTCAATTATGTCAAAAGACAGTACAAATCTGTTGGTTAGGTAAATCTCTGTTCACTGATTAATACATAACCCACCTTCTTTCCCAATTATTTTATTTTAAAATCTTAGGCTGCTAGTGCCAGTAATGGATTAAATAGTGCCTATTCACAAATTAACTGCATCCACTTTTATGATATGTAAAAGATACTTATAATTTCCTTTTATCGAACCAGTGTGCAGCAGTCCACTGTAAATCTGAAGGACTGATTATCAATCCTTAAGAATTTTACCTACAGAATGAATGTGCACACTTTTTGACACATTTTCTTAGCTTCAAAAGTCACTTTAAAAAGTTCAGTAGACTGACTTGTAAATAACTATCTCAGATTTTAAATCTGCAAAAATCTGTCACATTGATTGCTGTTGGGACAGAGTGAGATAAGGCTAAAATTTTTTCCAAGCTAACATATTGAGAAAATAGAACCATAATTCTGCAATAAATCAGTATCTTTTATTTCTTTTTTTTTAAAGCAAACCAATGAAGGACAAAAACCTTTGGTTCACTTATGTATTTATGAATGGAAAAAATTTTATAATGCAAATTTCACTCATTAAAAAACTTAGGTACAAATTACAACATTACAGATAACCCTCTTTTTGTTTGTTTTCTTTCACATGGAGACCTTAGAGACTCAATTCAAGAGACCTAAGTATGAGTACTCCAGGTAAATATACAAATTGGAAGTATCTTGGAATTTTAAGTATATTTCAATACATAAAATTTTATGCATGCTTTAAACAAACTATTTTTTTAAAATGAGAGAATCTAAACACGAAGTATGACCAGCACCAGCATTTAAGTTTTTTGATTTTAATATTAGTCTGACATAGCGTTAGTAACCATGCTGCACTGAAACATGTAATGGTACAATCTGAATCATGATTCGTTAAATATTATACCCCACTTCCCCAGAATATTTAGGCTGGTCATAACATTAACAATGTGTAAGTAAGTACGTAAGCATAATCAGTTATAGACAGCCTCTTGTATAAACTGCTGAACAGCAATACATAAACTGCCTCAAAGATTTATGCTTACAGGTAGACATTCAATGTACCAATAAAACAGCATGTCTTGAAAATATGGGCACATTTTAAAACATATTAAGACAATTCTGTTAACCATAATAGTCCCACAGTATGACTGAGTAATAATAAGAACCTACTTTAAAAGCAAAAAAAATTTAATCAGTATAGTGCATGATTGATTCAACATAGTTCCCAGGGAACAGACCAGTCACTCGATTGCAGACTCCTTCATACCAGCCATCATCATTCTTCTTTATAACATAAATGATTGCACCCTCCATAAATGACAGCTCATCATCCTTGTCTTTTGTATAATCATATATTGCAACAACTATGGAGAAAACAGTTGAAATATCACATGAGTGCACTATATACAACATTTACTTGAACTTTAAAATTTAATGCCAATTAAATCTACAATGTGGTAAAAGCAACTTCTTATGAAGATAATCTTAATTCTTATATCTATTAGAATAGGTAAGGTGAGTAGCCAACCATGTGCCAAATCACTGGACTTACTATTACAGATAAATTGACAATTAGGTAAGACTAAAGAAGTCAACAAGTTCTATCAATCTCTTTAAGAAAGACTCTGAATTTTAGAATTCATTGTATGTTTCAATTCATTTGTTCAAATATCTACTAAGTGCCTACCATATGCAAAGCACTATTTCCAAAATAATGATTGGGCAAAGCTGCATAGGCATTTGTAAACCAGGTAAGAACACAAGCTATCAAATTTGAAAAAACACATTTACTGGGAAATCTCATCTTACTCATCTGAGGATACATGCTAATTTATTGGGCTATACCCAGACTTTTTAAAAAGAATACTTAAAAGGCAAAAAGGATTTTTTTAAAAAACTGGAAATAAGTACAGACAGACCCATTAAGACTTAGAAAACTCAGCAATTCTGTTATCTGATTCTTCTGAGTTTGAAATATTCACTACCTTTGCAAACAATGTTGTGAAAAAGGAAAGCAATCTAAAACATACTAGTTTTCCATATTATTCATGAATTTATTCATTTCCTTCACTCCACTTTTACAGCATAACGATTCTGAAATTATATGTAATTTTCCAGTATACGTGAAATGGTATGATACACATGTTTTTTCATTGATATACCTCATTCATTCTTGGCAGTCTTTTTTTCCCCTCAAAATAGGGAGTTTTTAAGATATTTAAGATATTTGAATTCATTTTACCCCTAAGAAAGACGGCCATTCCCCATAATTATTCTGAATCAGTGACTTACAATAAGGGAGAGATTTGAAGTACTGATCCATAGCCATCATTGCTAAATTAGAGTAGGCAGTCTTTCCCCCCTTTACAAAACATTATATTAAGTAGACTCAACAAGTCCATTCTCTATTTTAATCCTGCAATGGAATCACAGTATTGTGAAATGAGCTCAATGCATATCAACTTTTAAAAATAGGCAGAATAAGTAATATGAAGTTATCTTAGTGTTATTTTTTGCTAAATAACCACCTTAAAGGATCAGGTGATTCCTAGAGATAAACCATTAATAAAGTTGTGCAGTAATAAAAGTCAATTAACCATTATTAATATTACCAATTATTAATATAACTTGTTTAACTTTGGTCACATTAATTTCTTGGTACTAAGAGTCACAGTGGGTTAGATTTTGAGTGGTGTAGATAACTTCTGTTCTAAATGTAACAAATGGCTCACACTCTCAAGTCTCTCAGCGAACAAAATTTTATTTCCTCATGTTTTCTTTCCACTTATGCAGAGACGGTGAAAGTACTGAACAAAATTAATTATGTTTCTATCTTCCAGGTCTCCCCTTGTAAATGAAACTTAGTCCTACCCAACTCCTCTCACCAATGCAATATTTCCTCATATAATTCCTCTTACTGCTAAATATTTAACCATTAACAATGTGATGCCCATTCAACTCTCTAGGACCCTGATCTATACAAAGAGACAAGTTCTCCCTTCTTTATGTCCTGTAGAATTCATTGGAACTCGAAGTCTAATTCTGTAATCCTACTTCTACATGATAAATACTTGCAGATAGCTACCTAGTCCCTCTGAAATCTTTTTTTACCCAACTTTAAGAGCTTGAAAAAACTTTTAAAATCTTTACTAATTATACATGACTTCAGTAAATCATTTAATTCCTTTTTATGCCTTAGTTGTCTCATCTATAAAATGCAGAAAGGCAAGTTAATCTCCAGCTGGTAGCACATGCAGTTTGAAAATGCACATCAAACATTATAACTTTAATTTTAGAAATAAAGGATTCTCCTTTTATATTGGAGAATAATACAAAGTATAGGAAGTAAGGCTTAAGTAAATCATTTTGGTTGGTAAGACAGTTCAAAAGGATGAGAAACACTGGACTAGATTGTTCTCCATAGTTCTAAAATTCTACAAGCAGGTTATTTTCCTTCTTATCAGTTCAACAGTGACTAGACCTTACCTTTCTCAATATAATTCTTGGGGGCCCAGGCAGGATCCCCATCTGCATATGGATCATTATACTGAACTACTGCAGCCTCTTCGTCTTCATAATCCACTGGAGGAGGTGGAGGTGGAGGTGGAGAGTCATCAAACATGGGAATATCATCTGGTGGAGGTGGTGGTGGTGGAGTTGGACTATCAGCAACTAAAAAGATTCATATAATTCATGTGAATCAGAAATTAGTCTAAATGGATATTTATAAGTTAGTAAAATTTAAGAAAGCTTTAACTCATATACAGCATGCACTATAATAAAACATGCAATGATTAGAAATAAAAGCTTGATATGTTAAAGTTTATGTTACTCTTAAGATTAATTTTGCAATAATAAAATGAAATAAAAATACAGGTGTCAGGAAGTACTACAAATTAATGAATGCAAGAGATTAGGAGACAATGTCTTTTTATAAAGATTACAGAAGTAAAGCAGTTTCCTTATTCAAAGGCTCAAGTTGGGACAAATTTCACTCTTTTTAACCTAGCTGCCACAGACACTTTATGTCATATTTGTCATTTGGACTGCAGTAAATGTTATAAATAACATTACATTAATGGTTTGATAAGTTTTCATTGTGCTTATTCATTCCTCTAATTTTGGCTTTTAATAAATAGCTTTAGTTGCCTACAAATTAAGTCTCCAGTTGGCAGATTTTTATTTGTTGATTACTATTTGTTTAATGGAAAGAGAAGTAAAGTTGGTGGTATTAGGTCTGCTTCTGTGTGTAGGTTTTCTATTCTTTTATTTAAATTTTAACAAGATAAAAATTTTTTTTAATTCCCAAATAGAAAATCTCACTGAATATTTGCAAAAATGTTTTATTCATAAACAATTGCTTCTGTGTGTAGGTTTTCTATTCTTTTATTTAAATTTTAACAAGATAAAAATTTTTTTTGATTCCCAAATAGAAAATCTCACTGAATATTTGCAAAAATGTTTTATTCATAAACAATTTTTTAATGTAGAAAGGAAGCTAAGAAAGCATGGGATGAGGGAAAGACTAGATCCTAATTTTCTAAGAATATGTGACAAGGTTTAAACATAATGTGCTGAGGGAAGATATAATAAAAAAAACAAACAAAAAGGAACTTGTATCAAACAAAACAATAAAAATAACTCATACCTCACATTCAGCTGGTCATGATATGTATATGTGCGTGTGCTTTAAATAACCAAAGGTGTAAACAAACTGGGAAAAATGTCAGTTTAGAACTGTGTTCACTGATTATGATGATGATACCAGGTAACAGATGCTTCCAATATCAAGGAATACAAAGCTGTAACACAACTAATGCTTAACTTAAATTTCTGATCCACAAATTTCTTTAAGAGTTCAAAAGATATGTGAAAAAGTTTTCATACAAATTGATACAAGAATTATATAATACCTGTGATGGAGAACTTTATAATACAAACATTGTAACTCAAATGTCAATTTCTGGGGCTTTTATGTAATCAAAGAAAAGAGCCATAATCTATTTGTCTTACAGGTTTTAAAGTGTTTTACTCCACCCTACTTGGAATAACGTGCTAGAAACATAACCAAGGGGTCCAGATTTAAAACACTTTCAGATAATAAATAGCCTTACTTTCATAACCACATCAATTCTGTGATCTCTATTTTATCCTCTTGGGGGATGAAAAAGGCTATTAAAAAACAAATCCTGTGTGGTGATGCTCACTCTAGTAACTATCAAACAAGTTAATTTATTTTTCCACTGCACGCCTGGATCCATTTTATCTCTGCCTATAACCCCCCTTCTGTAAAGCTTTATACAATTTAGTATTATTCAGAGAAGAGGAAAACAGCTATGAACTCATCCTGACATCAAATATCCTTAGCTCATATTCTTAATTTGACTTAATGTGCAAATTAGATAAGTTTGCCTAAAGCCCTAAACTACATTCACTCTTGATTTTTATACACAACTTACTACTTTAATGTTTTCACTCAATTGTCTTTAAGCCCAACTGCTGTAAATCTACATTGGCTTATCTTCAAATTATGGCAGGAGTCTGGTCAATCTAATTCTATGCATAATACTTTGCCTAGCACCATGCATAATTAGTTCAAAAATGCTTTCTGATGTTAGTCATAAACATATGTCAGTAGACTGCTGACTTTTTTAGAGGCTCATATCTTAAACCGAAACACATTAATAGGTTAACTGCTACACACATTCATTATCACCCACTTTGAGTGACGTAAGAAACCAGATATTTAAGAGAAAAACAGAAAATTTGTACTTCATAAAACATTTACAGTACTGATACACAGTTTATCACCAATCTTCCTAACAAGCTTTTTTTAAAAAAATAGATGCTAAATAAAGTTGGGGAATTTATAGCACAAGGAGAACAACTAACTCAAGTTCATATATTTGGTAAAAAGAACTAAAATAGTATCAAGTGCCTCTTTAGTAAAGATCATGCATGCCTATAATAATATACATTAAAACTGGATTTCTCTTTTTTTTTTTTAAAGTTGTCAAAAAGCTGGTCAATAACCTTTGGACCACAAAAGTGGTGTTCCTTATGGCTATTTTAAATTATTTTCTAATAAATCCTAGTGATACGGCAGTTCAAAAGGTTGAACTGGTTTAGTTTTTAAACTCTTGAAACATTAGGACCAGCCATTTACTCTTATTCACTTATTTTTTTAAAAAAAGATTCACTTAACTTTAAATGTTTGAGCACATTAGAATTTTCAAACAAACGTTAACAGTAAAAATTGTTTACACTCAGAAATCTCAAAATTTTGAAACTACAATGTTTTATGATAAGCCCATTAGGGCATACATTTCTTGAAAGAAAGGACTTTGTCTTTAACTATATGTATTCTTTCCAGAGCCTAGTATATAACATTGAATAAACAAATATTTGACTGGCAAAAGGGAGGTGATGCGGAAAATAACACATCAGGATCAGCAAAAGCTGAGGAATAGAATTTGCCACAGTATAGTATGCTGGAAGAAGGGCTGATTAAATGGGGCTTTTTACTCATTTGTTCAAACCACTCTGAGATTTACTTTCATGGTGATGGCCTCAAATGAAGGAAATTAGAACTAGACCACCATACCACGTTAATTTCAACATCTTTTTGGCGTAATATAATTCAGTATTAGTCGTATTATGTATTTGCCATACAACAATCACTATGATCATGTGTTGTAGTGATTATACATGTTCTGGAACCTCAAAAGTTATCAGTCAGTAATATAAACTAGTCTTTCTTTTTTGGCAGCTGGAAGGTACAGGGATCTGAACCCTTGACCTTGGTGTTATAACACCACACTCTAAACAACTGAGCTAACCTGCAAGCCCGAAACTAGTCCATCTTGATTAAAGCCATATGTTCAAAACATTTTCCCAAAATCATTAAACCTGATCTTCATTCAAAGAAGACGAAAAAAGTCAACAGATTTATGCATTCAGAAATAATCCTCATAGACTTATATGTAGCCAAAATGTGAAGAGGGCTGGATACATGGCTTATCACTCACCCTTAAATGGATAGCATAGACGTAATTTATCCATTCTTGGAAATTCATCCTTATCCTAACAATGAACCTTTATAGAAGTTCAAAAGCATTTATCTGAAGCTACAAAGCTTTCTCTAAAATTTTTTTTTAATTAAAGGGGGGGGGGGAACCCTGTCCCAATTTCATAATGAATTTAATCTCAGGGTATAACTCACTATATCTTGATAATTTGAATTTTTATGTTTGATTATTCTTTCATTAAGAATATGCAAAGATCATATCTCATGTTTTAGATCACATAAACACATAAGAAAGTTGTAGTTTTGAAATTCATATGGGTCAGTAATCATGCACACAAGAGGAAAAACTGAAGACCGTGCTCTTCAGTTTCAATAACATATCTGTACCTATTTTTAAGATAAGATTAGCTTCTCAATAAAAGTAAGGAAAATGATGACTCATCAGCCATGCATGCTATAAGGAGACAGCCTCTACTCTTTCATAGCTCAGTTTTTCCAAACTTACTGTTTTCCTGCACCCTGGCCACGAAGCCTGTGAGAGGTATCTGTGGAGTCAACTGAGGCATAGGGGGAGGGGGTGGAGCAATAGAAACTGGTAGCAACAACACAGTATGGGGGAAGTAAACAGATAAAGGAAAGAAAAGGAAACAAACAAAAAGCAGAAGTCAGTTACAAGGACCACAAACATAAGTATGCAAAGAACAGTTTGCAAATGAAACAAAACAAAACAAAAATAAAACAAAAACCTGCAGAACCTTCTTCAAATTCATTTCCCACAAGCAAACCTAAAGCCAAGTTGTGCTTAGCCAATTAGTTAATTTTAAAAAGAACATACAAACTTAATTTAATCCTAATGTTATATTGTTTGGGGAATATTTAAATTTATCATCACATTCACTTTAGTCCAATGAAATTTTCAAATTCTACAGAAAGACTTCTAAAATAGATAACAATGAAATACTTAGAGGTTTCCAGAATATTGTGTCTTTGCCATAACTCTGTATCTAACAGCTTTGTCTAGCTTTAAGGTAATATTGTAAAATAGAAACCAAATAAGTAAAACAAATATATTACATAATAGCTATTTATTTCATATATATATAAATACATTAACCACAGGTTTCCTTTAAAGACAGTTCTTATTATATACCTAAATTTACACACAGCTCTCCAGGAAAAAACCTTGTTATTGTAAAACAAGGTTATTATTTTTTAAGCTGGCAATTTTATTTTTAAAGACATCACTCCTAGAGGCCGGCCCGTGGCTCACTTGGGAGAGCGTGGTGCTGACAACACCAAGTCAAGAGTTGAGATCCCCTTACCGGTCATCTTTAAAAAAAAAAAAAAAATCACTCCCAAATTTACTAGGGAATATAGTGCTCTATATAGCATGTCAATTATTCAGCTTCAAGGGATAAGATATCTCAAAAGTGACCTTCCTTTTATCCCTGTTCTGAAAAAGGAAACCTGATCTCCAATAAGTTAAGATATGCTATTATCTGCATTAAAGTAATTTCTAAGGAATCATTGGATAGCTTGAAACATATTCGAACTTCTTTCTGGAGAGGACATAATTTATAGGAAATTGATATCAAATGCTAATGTGGGCAGCAAATATATTAAGAATTGTACTATAAACTAGAATTAAACATTCATACGTTTACTACTTTGTCTCATTTAACAAGACAGTAACTGCCAAAGACTGCTCAGAAAAAGTCAATAGGTCTGAATAGTAAAATTCAGTTTACTGGTAGTCACCAAGAAGTGACACTAAATTGATAGAGAAAAACAATTCACTGGTTCCCAAGGATCATATAATCAAAAGGTCGTTTTAATTAATCCAATGTACAAATTTTGTTGGTAACCATAAAAATTTGAAAGAGGTTTAGTGTTCAAAGCAGCAGCAACTTAAAGCAAATGTGTGCATTAATATTCAATGTATGTTTAAAAATAACATTCAATTCACTATGAAATTGGTCCTCTTTCATTCTGATACTTTGTATATAGAAGGATCTTAAATAAATAAAAGGTTAGATAGAGGTTTCCATTTTAAAATAAACAAATAAAAACTCCCACAAACCTAAAAAAAGTTTTGAGACAACCCTTGGTAACTAGACATGCTGGTTAGTATGGAAAAAAAAAAAAAGCTGCTGGTTAGTATGGAAAAAAAAAAAAAAGCTGCGCTGTGCAGACACTAATCATTACCACCACATTTAGACAGAAGGGAAAATATGCACATCAAAACACTAAAAACATTTACATACTTCTACAACACAACAGTAAATCAGATTGAAGGATAATTAATATGACAAAACATAATTATATATTTAAAACTTGAGGCCAGAATTGCTGTCAAATATTCGAAAGAATGTAGACGCTCAGTAATGAAAATGTCTTGTTTGAAAATAATGCACCCAAATATTGCTAAAATAAAACTACACAAATATATATTATGTGAAGAAACACTCAAAATCCTACTTGCAGAGTAAATTAAATATCTAAGTGGGGGGAAAAAATAATGAACATAAGGATAGGATCTAAAGTAAGTAGAATATGAAAAAAAGTTAAAAGTTCATAAAACTAGTGAGGTGAATTATCAGATAATCTGTAGACTATTCAGATGCTGGCTACCTTTCAACACCAAAAGGAGACCAGGGAAAATGTGAGGTAAAAATCCTAATTAATACTATGAATTCTAAATCAATACTTCTTAGTAGCTTGAATGAAAATTTTAGTCTGGAAAAAGGTTGTATATATTTTGGGATTAACTTTGAATTTTGACATGTCTGCTAAAATGGTTTTTAATTCTTAGGAGGTTTTGCTACAACATAATTAATCTTTAAAATTTAAACAAAAAAAAAAATAAGGGAACTTCCCCCGAGTTCTGCTTTAAAATATATATTCAGGACATGCATTACAAATAAAAATAACCCATTCTTTTTATGAAAGTTCTCTCTCAAACACACCAATAAAAAAAACTTAACTGGTAACCACAACTTCAAGCCAATAACAAATCCTGGACAACAGGTTCATTTTGGATTTCGTTTTCTTTTTTTCCTTTTTGTGTTAAGCATCTTAATAAAGAAAGTGAAAGTAATGACTACCCTAAGCTACTCAAACTTCCTAACATTCTATGCTAAAACGATTTTTTAATATTATCAGCTTTTAAACATTGAATGAAATTAGTGTTGAGATGTGCAATTTGAGGTGAACAGAAAGAAATCAAAAGAATATCCTTCCCACTGTTAATAACTAGCCATGCTTGTTAGTACAGAAAGAAAAAGAAAAGCTATGCTGTGAAGACACTAATCATTACCACCATCTGATTATTCAGAGACAGAGTAATTAAGCAGGCATCAAAAATATTTTTAATTGGTTTTGAATTCATTTCGGTATAGTTAATGACCTTAAAAGTGATAGCCAGCAATTTTGTTACACTATTTTAAAGGAAAACTTTCACAATGTTTGTGTCTTTAATTTTGCCATTACTCTCTCAAACATGCCAATAAAAATAATTTTAATTTATTAAAACAGTTTAATTAATTTCAGAGATGTTTTTGTTCTCTAGCTCTACTTACAGTAATAAAAATGGCATATTAAAGCACTACTTAAATTTTAGTATACTAAGTATACTTAATAAGTCTGAATTTAGAAGAGAATAAGCAATTACTCTTCAAATGCTATGATTCAAGGACTAACATCCTAAAGCAAAAATAAACACGAAATAGCATGGTTTCAATTGCTGTCTATCACTGGTAAAAAAAAAAAAAAGTTTCAAATAATTTCTTTCAAAAGGAGCTCCACTGTTGCTTTATGCCTTCAAAGCACAAGCTTACTTGAATTTTGAGAATAAAGTGGACCTCCATTAACATGAGGCTGAGTGGAAAACTGAGCAGTCACAGAGGGAGTTCGTCTGTATCCACCAGAAGATGTTGAAGAAGTAGTAGAGTTGTGCCGAGAAATCTGCCTGGTCATTGTGCCATACTGGGAACCAGGAGCTGAGCCCGGGGCTGCTGAAAAGCATTAGTCAAAGGCAACCAACAAAGAGATTTAAGCATTGTAATCACCTCAGATGGCAGAACAAAGAGGGAGGACTCTCAGTAAGAGATATTTGTTACTTTTCACGTCTGTGGCACAAAATAAAGAAAAAAGTAAAAATAAAAATCAAATAACTCTATCCCTGAAGCTAAAAACAGAAGGAAAAACAGCTATGATGCAGAAAGCTGCAAAAGTAAATAAGTAACATTCTTAAGCCTTTTAAATAAGCATAATCCCAAATGGTATTTTGCTAATATTTAAATTTTTTCTGCACCTCATAATATATGGCTTTTATATGTAAACTGTCTCTCTAACACAATAAGTTCCAAAAGACAGTGTGAGGTGGAAAGCAACAGTCATTAGATATGAATACATTCATACATGGTTTACAAACTTCTTCCTCTTCATTGCCACATTTTCAGATTTTGATTCACAGTATAAGAATCTATCTAGCCAAATCCATGTTAAATGATGGAATTTAAACTGTTAAGTATATTTTCCACATCTACTACTATTTTTAATATGAATTTTTATTGCATTAGCAGTTATTAGTATCAATACATATTAGAGTAGAATCATTTTTAAAAGAAATACGATTTCTAATTTCAAAGCACTTACATATAATGTCAAATTTATTACATATCTCCAAATTTTTAAGATTAACATACTCTTCCTTATTAGTTAAATTTTTATACCTGACAAAACTGGAAAAAATTTTAGACACTATAAAATATAGCATATTAAGGCAGCTTTGTTTAGAAAATCTATTATTTTTCTCCATACTTTGAGGGCTTTTTTTCCATACTACACCCAAAGCAATCTCCTTTTCTTTTTTAAATCATGCTTATATATTTATAACTCAATACCTAAACTAAGCAAAGTATTAATACTTAAAATTTTATTCGATGTCATCTTCACCAACATTTCAAAAGTTAATATGTGAAAAGTTAATAGAGTTCCAAGACTCTAAAGTTATCTATACTTTCCAAAGTTAACCAGAAATAATATTATCCTCCTTTGCCCACCCAAACACCAAACCATGACAGAGAAAGTAAAAAGACGGCATTCTAGTTTATCTTCATTCTGTGGTCTAACTTAATTTCTCTTAGGTGTCATACACGGTATTAAATAAAACCATACAGCAGAGGTTGTTCATTAAAAGAAATGCTCATACTTAACATCTTGGAACTCCCAAGCCATAGGCAGTCACTAATTACTTAAATCACCCACATGCTCATTTTCTAAATAGAGCCATTTTAAAAATAATAGTCTATTTAAAAGCCTTTGGGAATGATTAATTTTGGAAAGCTAATTTCTCCAAGAGCTAAGAAGTAAGCCTTTAACGATTTTTAATAGAAATTTCCGTTAAATGATTTTTACATTTCTCTGACTTGTATAAAAAGTGTACAGAATCCAAGTTATTTTTCTTGCTGATTCAAAACTGAAAACTACTTGTTTAGCACTACTAACCTATGCCTATTTTAGAATTTATTTTTATATTTTATTATTAAATAAATCATAATGCCAAAGGTATATAACTGATATATATGCAATTATATGTTGTGTGTGTGTGTGTGTGTGTATATAAATTATGTGTGTATATATAATTTAAAGAAAAATAAAATACCAAGCTCAAGAAATAGAATATTAACATCTCACTGAAGCTTCCTATGTGCCCTTTCCTGGATTCCTAATCCTACAAAGTACGTGTTACATTTTCTTTCTTTTCTATATGGTTTTTACCACAGATACATATAACCTTAAATAATACACATAGAATTTTTACAAATTTATAAACTTTTATAATAAAATCAATCCATATGTGTTCTATTAAACTGCTCTTTTCCCCCTTGATATTATTTTTCAAAATTCACCCATGTGGATAAGTATATATCAATATGTATTTCATTTTTGCTGGGTTTTTTTGGTTTTTCTTTTGGGGTTTTTTGGTGGCTGGCTGGAACGGGGATCCAAACTCTTGACCTTGGGGTTATAACACCATGCTCTAACCAACTAAAATAACTGGCCAGCCCCACTGCTTATTTGTATGTGAATATACCACAATTTATTTATCCAACCTACTGTCATTAGACATTTGGGCTGCATCAAGATTTGTGCTATTATTAATACTACTACTATGAACATTCCTAAATATGGTTCCTGAATTTCTCCAGAAAAGCAGTTCAAACCAGATTATGATTATTTCTACACCACATGGGTTTTATACTGAGTACATATCTGGAATTCCTCACATATTCAATCTAGTCACCCCAAATTGGGAACAATTTAAATGTGTTTTACTGAGAAAACTGTTTCATGCATCCTCAGATGTCATAAGCCTGGGGAATATTTTTCAAACTGTGATACACAAATAAGCCTCAGAACGAGCACCCCATACCACACATTACTTTCCTTTCCTTTTTTCTCCTCCTGACCTCAACTTCACCCTGGTCTTCTGACTGTTGTATATACCAGGGAGTTTCAAATGAAGTTTCACCTGGTAGGGGGGATTATTACACTGCTAATATTTAAAAAAATTTTTTTTTTTAGGGCCAGCCTATGGCTCACTTGGGAGAGTGTGGTGCTGATAACACCAAGGCCACGGGTTCGGATCCCTATATAGGGATGGCCAGTTAGCTCACTTAGGAGAGCGTGGTGCTGACAACAAGTCAAGAGTTACGATCCCCTTACATGTCATCTTTAAAAAAAAAAAAAAAATTTTTTTTTTTGAACAATCACTGCTATAATTCTCCTAGAAAAACCTAAACAAATAACAAATAAAAATCACATTAAGTTGGTTGTAAACCAAGCAGAGAAACATTCCATATTGCAAGAAGAGTTATTTTATATTTGTTTACTGTGTAAGTTCAGAAGCCTTTCATCAGAAGAAATTAGTGTATATTAGATTTAATACTTTAACCTTTGTATTATCACCTACAACCTAATAACTATAAAAGTTAGCAGTCTATTAGCTACAGAGAAGTTTATTATGAATTATGCAAAGTAAGCTCAACGGCTCCAATGGCCATGTGATCTCACCTATCACAGTGATCACTGGGAGAAGTGATGGCAGAGGTGGTGCTGGTGGAGCTCCAGAAGGAGAAGGGACAGAAATATTTTCTAATAAAATAGTTTATAATTCAGGTCCGAGTGCAAAAAAAGAGAACTAAACATTCTAAAACAGCAAGGAAGTACAATGTATTGGCAAGAAGGAAAAAAAAAAAGAGAGACGCCCATATATAAAGCACGTTCAAGAATTTTACTAGGTAAAAAGGCCATTGAGTTTATACCTGCATTAACTATGAAAATGCCCATTTTTATAAACAGTTTTTTCTCCTTTTTCAACAATATAGGCTTGAGAAGAAAGGAATTTTTCCCCTAACATTTTTCATTATCATACTTACTTTTTAAATGTACAATTTTAACACTATAAAAAGTATCCATTTCATTCACTAAAAATTATGGGGCTAATTTAATGCTCTTCAAGGATTTCTTACATTTTTATACTTTCTAAAAAGTAAAAGAATATTCCTATTTTAATCTCATTTTACATTCATTACACATCACTGAAATATGTATTGAATATAAAGATTGTAAAGTCACAAAACAAACACCAAGTGGAGCCATAGCCTACAAGACAACAGCAAAACTCTTTGAAACGTAATTCATCTTTACAGACACTGATGCTTTGGTTGGAGTACCACACAATATCAGTTTGCTCCTGAAATAATAAAGGTCATACTTGACTAGTACCCCAAGGCAAGTAAAGCAAAATGGCAAAAAAGTTATTTAACAAAGCCATTTAATATGTGCTATATGTAAGTAGAAACAGCTGGTAAAATCCTAAAGACTTTGTGAAAACCAATCTAAAAATATTGTTAAATTTGTTATTAGCCTTTATACTAGCAACAATCACCAATTTAATAAATAATTTTATACAGTATGAATACATTATTTAGCCTTCCATAATAAAGCTCATGAATATCAGCACATATTGATCACAGATTAATAAATAACATACCTGGTCCAATAGTGGGTGGTGAAGGTGTAGGCACAGCAATGGGAATGCCAATACTACTGCTTCCACTGTTTTCTCGACTTCCACTTCCTCCACTACTTCCACTGCAAAGAAAAGAAAAATAAATTGTGAATAAAACAATTCTAGAGATTGAAAAAAAAAATTGTAATAATAAACACAAGGCTACTAACTACTCCCTTTATGATGTACACATATATATATAAAAAAGACATTTTAAACTGTTTATTACAAATCTTAACCCTAATACTTGAAGTGGTTCTTGTCTTTCACTCTACTTCTCAACCCATATGAAACTGATAGAATGATAACATAGTACAGTTGGCCCTCTGTATCTGTGGGTTCTGCATCAGTGAATTCAACCAATCTCAGATTTAAAACATTCAGGAAAAAAACCAGTACATGTCCTGAACATGTACAAACTTTTTTTCTTGTCATTATTCCCTAAACAATACAGTATAACAACTATTTGCATAGCATTTACATTGTATTACGCATTATAAGTGATCTAGAGATGACTCAAAGTACAAGGAGGATGTGCACAGGTTATACACAAATACTACACCATTTTATATCAGAGACTTGAACATCCATAGATTTTGGTATCCAAGGGAGGTCCTGGAACCAATTCCCCACAATGCCAAGGGACAACTCTATTCAGAACCATCTCTACTGAGAAATTTATGACCAATAAAATCTTACGGTACAATGAGTCAGCAAGTGTTTAATTAAAATCTGCCAAGAAGAGAAGTGAACAATGCAGACATGAACCACATTATCAGGGAACTGATAGTTAAGCATGGAAAAACAGACATTAAAAAACAGCGTGAAGGATACTACAAAAGAAAATGTACAAGTGGCTATGGAAGTAAATATGAAGGGTAACCAATTCTAGTCTGAAATTAATATAAAAACTTCTACTCATCTCAAAGAAAGGTGATAAAACGGGGAGACTTTCTGGAAAATAGGCATAACAAAAAAAAAGACAATACTAAGTTTTAGTGTTGGCATTCCAGAATAGCTGATACTGATAAACTCTAACCAATTCCTCTAGTATTGGTCTTCCTATGGATCTACTGTCCTTTTAACCATAAGACCTGGCACTATCTAGTTGTTCTGAGTGAGGTATAAGATCAGCTACCATCCAATTATTTTCAGTAATTTGTGCACACCCATGTACATGTGTGAAAGCATACACATCTGTATGTGTAGCCTTAGGCTCCTTATTATGTTTCAAAATGAACATCATTTATTCAATAATCCAAGAAACTCAACAGGGCAGAGATCTGCAATGCCTGGATAGGATTTTAATTTTCTTTTCCAATATGATCATTCTATAATTAGATTATTACATGTTAATGGGAAAAAAAGAAAAAAGCCATCTATATGACAAAAACAGCTTAGACGTGAAGGCCTCCTTAACTATCTCAAGCCAGGTGATCAATACTCAGCTTTGTGCCACAAATGAATCACAGACATATGAATATTTTTGCACTTATTACACACTTCTACAATTATTGGCTTACACGCCTTTTTTCTAACATAGAGATCGGCAATTTATGACCTGTGGGCTGAAACTGGTCCACTGCCTAATTTTTACAACCTGTGAAGTATTTGTATTTTTAAATAGTTGGGGGGGGGGGGAATCAAAAAAGGA